ATGGATTAACAGCTCATGGTCCTCCTGACCTCGGTACACCTGTAGACAGGACAAAGAAGAACCACCATCCATCCTGTCCACACCCCTCTTTCATTCAGAGTTTCCAGTAAATGCACTATGCACACATGCGCTGCATTCAGGGAACATTTCTGTCTTTTCACATAGGCCATGGCAATGCTGGAATAGATGATGGCAGATTGAACAGAAGAAGAAGATGTCTGTGAAGACATCTGGTATTATTTTCAGGAACAATATTTATTTTACTAAGTAAAAAAAATCTGCCCAGTGGCCTTCAGACTAACAAGTGAATCCCTTTGCAGTTTAAGTGAATGGGGACGATATTGTTGATTGTCATAGTCTTCAACCAATCAGATCTTCAGTTTGACATGTTGGGCGTATTCATTGATGTGTCAGAGCTGCTAGCTGGCCTACAAGTACGTGATTGGTCAGTGGGCTAACATGACTGGTGTGAAGCTAGCGAGCAGAACTTTGTAATAGTAAGAGTTAAAGTTTAAAAATATGTAAGACGTTTTACGTGACATTACATTTTTTGCGTTTTGCCATGTTGGGCGGTGACAATCCCAATATCTGCTGCCTCTGCCGAGCGGACATTTTCAGCCCTCAAACGCATTAAAACGTATTCAAGAAATACAACTGGGGAGGCTCGTGTCTTCACTGGCGTCCATGAATGGAGAAGGACTTCTTACTGGAACTGAATTGCATCGATGTTCTGTACAACCGTGAGATTAAACTCTTTATTAACAAGAAAGGAGGATGCACTTTGTCTTTAAATAGTGAACAGCAGCTTTAGTAAGTGAACTGCTTTTGTTTTTTTACATCTGCAGTAGCGTTACTACTGTGTTCATTTTTCATAGGGTTTTTATGATATGGTTAATATTTTTCAGCATTTCAGGCAACTGTAAACAGGACGTGACACGAGTCCTGTCCGGTACAGGAACCAAACAGTTCCTGGGAACAACACTGGCAGTGAACCTCAGCAGCCAGCTGTTCACTTTGCTCTACAACATAAATAGCAGAACATGTGTAGTATAAATAAAAGGTATACAAATGTTGTTTGTAGAAGTAGTAGGGTGGTTGTTGGAGGCCTTGTATGGAGAGAGGCCTCTACCAGACCTGTCTCTCTCTACATGGAGGTATTTTTTCAGTCTACACAGCAGCCAACTCTCTCTCCCTCTCTGTTGTCAGTCGACCTGCTGACATGTTTTCAGTCTAAACAGTAGCTAATGACTGGAAACACACACACACACACACACACACACACACACACACACACACACACACACACACACACACAATGCGTACAGGCTGTTACAACAACAGAGCCAGTAGGAGGGTGTATGAGGACAGTGTAAACAGTAGTGCTACCATGTATAATGAGGCATTGTCTCATAATGGTAGTACTACTGCTTCCTATTGTTTCAATAACCATCAGGGTCCAAGTCCTGAAGGGACTGGAAACATATGCATAGAATGTGTTGTAACTCTGTTATGTTGTTCATTCTCTACACATGACATCTATCACACTTCTGTCGATCCTGATAGAGTTCCCTCCTCTGTTGCTCTCTGAGGTTTCTTCCTCTTTTCTCCCCGTTAAAGGGTTTTTTGGGGGAGTGTTTCCTGTTCCGATGTGAGGGTCCTGGAAACATTATTGGATCAAGCGCATCAAACGTTGCATAAAGCTTGTTGATATCTGTTTTTTTACCAATGAACTTGAAAGGGGTGTGGCTCAAAGTCAACAAGCGTTGGGCCAATCATCATGAAACCTGCAGAAAATGTTCACGAGAGTACCTGAAACACCCTGAACGTTTCATTTCAATCCACTAGGGGCGCTACAAATGCACAATGGTTATAAATCAATGACAGTTTGCCTAAACATCACCAAAATTAGTAGATATTTCCAATCAAGCTGTTGTAAGCTGTGCCCAAATGTTTTGAAATTGACCAATTGGGGGCAAATGAAAGACAATGCAGCTTCTCAAAGGAAGGTTTGTTCAGGATCATTACACATAGCTGGTAGTTGCAATGTTTCAGTCAGTACTCACTGTCTTAGCAGGGAATATGGATATTAGTTTCATCTCAGTACATAGACAGGTCCAGGGCATGTTTAGCTTAGCTCAAATAATTATTAACTTGACTTGACTTATTCAAACCTGCACTGCATCCATTAAGGAATGTGCTTCAAACCTAGAACCCTCTTACGGTGACGCAACACTTCACAAAGTTGCTCAGCTTTTCACATAAAGTCTTTTAAAGTTTGAAATGTCAGCAGGTATCGTTCCGTATTCAGAAGCAGTCATGCATTTTAGTAGAAATGTCAAAACAAACAAGTGACTTTGTTTGAGACAGTACTAAAAGCTCAAAGCTAAGCTGTGGGGAACATCTGATTCATAGTCACACAGTATAAATAGAAAACATATATATAGCCTTATTTATGATGGAGGTTCCTCATCAGCTGGTTCTGTCCCCTGATATCTGAGTAGACTGAACACAGCACTGCATCAACAACCTGACCGACTTCACCTTCACTTTAGTTTGCTTTAGTTTCCTTGTTAAAATCCACATTTTAAGAATGTTAATTAAAGCCTACGTCATATTCTGTATCCTCATAAATAGTAAACAAAACAAAGAATAAAATAGGAGCCAACCTGAAAAAAGAGGAGAAAGTTATCCATCCACACTTCACTCGTTTCTCTCTTCTATCTGTCTTCAGAGCGAATGCTAAACTGTGCAGCAGAGAGAGAGAGAGGGAGGGAGGGAGAGAGAGAGAGAGCGAAAGGGAGGGGAGAGAGAGGGAGTCACCACCTGGTCTGGGGGGGAAGAGAGAGCGAGAGCGAGAGCGAGACAGACAGCTCAGAGTACTTCCTTGACCAGCTGAGCTAAAAAGAGTGAGAAAATGTTCACTCAGAAGAGAAAGAGGAAACTGAAAAGGTCGAAGGAAGACAGAGAGATTGTGAGTTAGGCCACGCCCCCTTTCCACAGCAAACTGCTTAAATCTGAATTACATAAACTAGATATGTGAATTAGAGGTGCAATGTGTGGCCACCGACCAGTATTCCAGCTGTACTACAGGCTTTATACTACAGGCTCCGATACTACAGGCTACACACTACAGGCTATACACTACAGGCTCCCATACTACAATACTACAGGCGCCATACTACAATACTACAGGCTTTATACTACAGGCTCCCGTACTACAGGCTCCGATACTACAGGCTACACACTACAGGCTCCCATACTACAATACTACAGGCTTTATACTACAGGCTCCGATACTACAGGCGCCATACTACAATACTACAATACTACAGACACCATACTACAATACTAAAGGCGCCATACAACAGGCACCATACATACTACAGGCGCCATACATACTACAGACACCATACTACAGGCTCCGTACTACAATACTACAGGCTCCATACTACAGGCACCATACTGCAGTACTACAGGCACCATACTACAGGCGCCATCCTACAGGCGCAATACTACAATACTACAGGCGCCATACTACAATACTACAGGCGCCATACTACAGGCGCCGTACTACAGGCTCCGTACTACAGGCGCAATACTACAGGCGCAATACTACAGGCGCAATACTACAGGCTCCGTACGACCCCTGTTCAGTCCTCAGTCCTCTACTGAACTAACAGCAGAGCAAGAGCCCGCTAACACTCTGCTATCCTCTATATCACATAAATATATACAGTATATATTTATATACTAGGCTATAGTCTAGTTGATGCTTTGATGGTTCTTTTATTGGATTAAATCCTACGAGGCAGAAACACAGCTCCATCCGGTCCTCTAGTCTGCAGCTCTCATTCAGCCCGCTGGGCCTCTGGGGGAAGGAAGGCCCCCTGTGATCAGACCCCCGGTGCTGAATTGAGCTAACAAGCTAACTGGTAACCTGATGGCTTCTTGGTCCTCTGGACTGGGACTCTCTACGTCCTCTCAGGGAACAAGTGGTCTTAACTGCAGCACAACACCTCACAGGTGGTTCACAGAAGGTAAAACACCTCTAACATCATTTTGCTTCTAACTGTGATCTCTAGCTAACAACACTTGCTAAAATAAGATAATCCTTTATGACTGACAAAATGTAGTCTGGATCACACTGAAACCTCTTGGGGGTCTGTAGGCTAATCCTGACCCTGACCTCAGAGATGGAGAGAAACACCACAGCACCACGTTCTGATGTTTCAAACATAGACCGTGTTGTTTAGTGGTCGACATTGTGTCACTGTATTCTCACACTAGCTAGCAGCTAGCAGCTAGCTCTCTTGGGTGAAGCAGTGAAGCTAATGTAATGAGTCCCAAACCGAATACCACAAACATAAAAACCTTGTTGCTTCAGTGAGAAATGTTTTTCTACAGAAACATTTGAGTGTGTGGCTGAGAGGACAACCAGCGATTCTTTATAGGAAGAGACACGTTTGACAGCACAGGCCTGAACTTCATGCTATTTCAATCCTAATCACCTTTAGAAGAGCCTCCTCTGACCGTTTCACCAGGTTTATACAGCATGCTCATCTCCTGCCCTCCAAACAGGCTCCAGACCAGCCAAGCTAGCCGCTAGCGCTGCCCCATGGTGTCATTTATAGCAGTGTGCAGCTCAAGCTCTGGCCACGACTGTCATCCTTGTTACTGTTGGCATGTCCACTCTCCACATGATGACTAGTGACCCACTGGCAAGGTTATGTACACACACAAACACACACACAGGCGTGTGATGTCATGTTGGAGATGGAGTTATGATGAATGAATGTTGAAATGAAGAGGGTCTGCAGCAGTGTGTCTAAAGGTGGACACACTGCTGCCCTAATGTGACCACACATCTGTCGTGGCTCTACATCGGTGGCTCCACCTGCTGGTCAGTAGCAGGTGTTACACCGGTTCACATGAACCACTTTCATTCTGAAAAATCTCACATTCAGGGTGTAGTTTTCTCTCTCTTTCACACTCAGTCTTACCTCCTGGTGAACAGCTTGAGTCCGGTGAAAGACTTGGAGCAGCCGGTCAGCATCTCGATCTCATCTTCCACACAGATTGGGGGGGGTGAGGAGAAGAACGTCGGGAGGTTGGAGGAGGAGGGCAGAGAGGAATTAGAGGAGGAGGATGCAGAGCTGAACTCTCCATCACCTCCTTTTACTTTGAGTGGCGCTGCTCCTTCTCTTTCCCCTTCTGTTTCTTCCCATGGTTGTTCAGGAGCACCACCACAGGCCTCCAGTCCAGCCCCGTGTCCCAGATCAGTGTCTGCTCCCGGGTCACAATCCATGACAGCGAGCTGGTTCACTTCCTGTGGTCTTACCCTGACCCCATTTTGGCTGGATAAGATACAACTTTAAATGTCCTTATATGACCTAAGTCCTGAATTTCCCCTGTGATGTCCAAGCTAGACTCCAAACGGTACTCTAAGTGTTCCAAAAGTTCCCCAAGGAATCCTTGGTGTTCAAAGGAGTGCCATGAAGAAGAGCAATCAGACCCTGACTGCAGCTTCTTCAGGCTTTCAAGCTGCAGATGAATCTTCTCTAACAATGTGATGTAGGTCGATACTGGACGCCAACTGCTTCACTAAAGTTCTCCTAGGAGGAAGTATGAGCATTAACCACCAGACAGAGACTGACTAAAGTACTACAATCACTCCATTTACAGAAGTGTAACATTAACAGGACTGCACTGTGTTTCCAAGGTAAACTCCAGCTTCTCAAACAGGAAGCCGCCTCAAAGGACTACAGAACAACAGCCCTACAGACATCAGTATGAAGTGCTTACAGCCATGACAGGTTTAAACTAAGTAGTATGATGAAGGTACTGCGCTCAGACTGACATTCTTAGGGTTACACTCAGTGATTTTACTATTAGGACTTCAAACATGGCTGCCCTGCAGAGGCTACAAAGTCAATAATCCACATGCCAAAGGTCTTTTACAAGACAAACAAGGGGTGTGTGTGTGTGTGTGTGTGTGTGTGTGTGTGTATGTGTGTGGAGAGAGATTAGTGTTGAGTCCTGAGGCAGACTTAATCCGTCTCTGCATTTCTCTCCATGTGTCCACTCAGCAGTAGAAGTCCAGTCTGTCAATCACTGCTCCCTCTCTTCTTTGTTTCTTCGTCAGCTCTTCCCTCCTCTGTCTTCTTCCTCCTCCCTCTCTTCTTCTTGTCCCTTCTTCACTAACTTTACACTGTTTCCTCTCCTCGTCCTCCTCGCTTTCCCCCCCGTCTCTTCTTTAGTTGAACTACACTCTATGTGATACACACGCACAACTGAGTTGCACGCTGCACACACACGCCTTGGTAAACACACACTGATCCTGAAGTACCCGTCCGGCTAAAACCAGGAAGTGGATAATGACTACAATCAGGGCCTCACTGTTAGCTGCCCTGTCACATGCCTGACTGAAACTCTCTCCCTGACTGACTGACTGACTGTTCACATTATGTTCTTAATGTGGCCATTCAGCAGGAAACAACACGTCCCACTGATCATCATTGACCTGGTTAGTGTAGCTGGTTTGTTGCTAGTTAATAATGACAAGAAACCTACTGAGAAATGTTCACCACGTCTAAAACAAGACCTAAGAAAACACACAAACACACTACTCTTAATAGGGACCCTAGTGTGTGTGTGTGTGTGGCTTTCTGACAGTTTAAGTAATTGCTGTCCAATCAGTGAAAAATACAATTCTTACAGAAATGTCCAAAAGACAAACGTTGTAGATATGGAATCACAGCATGGAGTTTTTCTACGGTGTTCCTCAAGGAACAGGGGTTTCTCTGTGTTATTTTGATTCATTCTCGAGTGGTCAAAAACCATTACATCATGCACCAAATCTGTGTAACAAATAGTATCAACCCAAAAATCCTAATGTTCTAAGCCATTTTAGACATAGCACATATGAAGTAATACATAATATCCATGCTCAGTGAACACACAGACACACTCCACATGAGGGCATTCAGTCTCCATTCACAGGGCTTCCTGGCTGCTAGTCCATCTTATTCCACACGGGGGCAGTGGTGTGCTGCAGCTGGTATACAAACACGTTGTGTGTTGTTTCTACACAGACATTCATTTAAACCTGACCATCTCTAATGTTGACACATTAAAGCCGCTCTATTATCACTAAATACAGTCGGACTTCATATGTTTCCATAGCAACTTTATCCTCATGACTTAATAAAACATAATCAACACACAGACTGGCGCTCTCTTATCGATGGGTGGTTCATGTTAATGCTGGAGGAGGAGCTCTGTTAGCTTCTGACCCTGTTTTCTGTGTCAGATCCTCACCGTCTAAAGCTGAGATACTTGAAGTGGAGTAGAAGTATAAAGGGAAATATTCATTTTTTTACAGTACTTGAGTAAAAGTTACATTCGATAACTCTTGTTCACTGACAGATGACTGACAGACGAATCAAAGAAATGACATCAAGTAGGAAGAATGAATGTCAGTGATGATAACGGAGACTTTTCATTAGCACTGAGAGCTGCAGTCGTCCTCCAGAGTACACGTTTAAGTACTGCGTGTCAAATATGAGCTACTACAGACAGGCTGATGTCACTGTAGATCTATGTTGTTTATACTCACACATCCACAGGCCTTCAGTAGTCACCTGACTGGATTTCCTTAGAGTTAGGTGACCTTCATGCTGATGTCATCTACACTGACACTCACAGTGACTATAGGGTCGGTACTTGATACAGCACACCAGGTGACTTTATCAGAGACCTCCTTCAGGACTGTGGTGTTTATTGTGATTATTGTGTCAGCGTTACTGAACTCTACTGTGTCCTGACTGTTATAGAGAGGCAGTACATCGAGATACTGTGTGTAGGAGAGAGAACACACACACACACACCTGTTTTCTGTCGTCGCTGTTCCCTCTCATCCTTCGCCCACTCAGTATTTCCATGACAAATAAAATGCCTCTCGACAGCGTGACACACAATCCTTTTAACTTTCCAACACCCACTGCTGGCCTATTTTCTCTGTTTCGCTAACCAAGGACTCTGATTATGAACGCAGACATTAATCCAACCTGACCCTAAATGCAAGCCATTGTCCTAATGAGCTGTAAGTCCACGTTATCATCTGATAACACAGTAGAAGTACTGATGAAATATTGTACAAACTAATACTTGATCTCTGCTGTTGTGTATTAAACTAGGAGGCATATTCAATATATATAATATACTAATGATGACTGGAAGTAGAAGAGGATTAGAGGACACCTCAAAGGGCAGAGTCCCTCAGATGTACCCTGGTCACTTGAAATGAAAACCATTCACTGAGATTTTCAGGTTTCTCCACAATCCATTGGCTTTGTTTCCATGGTAACCCTGAGGGTTTGCTTTGTTTGAGTTGTGTTGTTCACTGCTCCAGGAAATAGGACCACCTTAGAAACGTCTTTCTACTCCACTCAGCTCATGGAGCTAACGTTATGCTAGCAAGAGTCAAAGTCCATACCAATCTCTCTCTCTCTCTCTCCAAAAAAAAAAAAAAAAAAAAAAAAAAAAAAAAAAAGTGATATATAGCCTATCTTATATATATATCACCTTGTGCACGCTCTACATTAGTCTGACTACTACTGCAGTCTCTACTGTACATTACTACAGTCTGTACACTACTACAGTACACTACTACAGTCTGTACTGTACACTACTACTGTACTGTACACTACTGCAGTCTCTACTGTACACTACTACAGTACACTACTACAGTCTGTACTGCAGTCTGTACTGTACACTACTACAGTACTGCACCTACTTGTAGTCTACCGTCTGGACACTACAAGTACAGACTAGAGTGTAGTGTTGAAATGTTTCAGTACTTTTACTTAAAGGTCACCAGGGTACTTAACCAGGCCTAAAACCAGAGGACCATAAAGGGGTGCATGTCTGAGAGAATGTTGGTACTCATCCAAACATATAAAACCAGTGTAGACCAGTGTGCACACTGTTACCCCCACAGAGTAGAGCGGAGGCGATGCACTCAGCTGTGTTCTCACTAGCGGCCCCTAGTGGTTCAGAGGAGTCTACACAATGAAACGGGTAATAAAAGGTGTTCTGAGAACGTGTGAGGCCTTGAGCATGCCGACAGAACCGGACACACACAATGTGATGCAGTCTGCTGTGGACAGACACAGAGCTGCACACAACTGATCCCATGATCCTCCTCCTGGTGAAATAATAACCAACAGCACTAAAGACCCTCAGAGTATACTGTTCTTATACTGGTTACCTCTGGTTCAGCATCTAACTAGCGCTGTCTGCTCCTACAGGATGAACATGTAGAGGACTAGAAAGTCCCCGTCATTGAGCGGTCGGCCCCAGAGAGCTGCAGGTCCTCATCCACAAGTAAAGACTAACAACAGTCCGCTAAGTCCTGAAAACAGAAGGAGCTCTGACTTCTACCTCTGCCATCTGGGTCTGCTTCCATCTGCTCTTCTGTTGGGCTACATTATGAAACTTTCTGGCTTGAGGCACGAGGTGCATTGTTCTTCCCTCCCACTCCCTCAGCTGGTCAACTTAACGCATCAACACTTGTCAATCTGATCATCAGAGTCCTGCTTGAGGCTGAAAATAGCACAGACAGCATCAGATAGCAAACAGACGAGACAGGAAAGGAGTCCAGACTCATGATCCAGAGCCTCAGCAGCAGATCCTGGCCTGAGAGGACCGGCATGACAATAATACAGAACATGTCTCTGACCAGGATTTCACTGAAGAAGGAAACACAGAGCGGTGAAGGGCTCCTCTCACGACTAAACACTGCTCAGAGGTTTTTCAATTCAATGAACCCTTTCTAATCCTGTTAACTTATTATACAGAACAAACACAATTGTGTTCCAATTAGTAGAATTATTACCAGGAAGACAGCGCCTAATGTCTGACTCTTATCACCGTGTGTCAGCTGATGTGTTCCGTCTGCAGGCTCCTTCCTCTCTGATAACCGTCGGCAGTGATTACCGTAACCGTGATTACATTCAGAGCAAACAGCTCGGGTACTGGTGTCAGTCCGGTTCTCGTGTTCTACAGCCTCACAGAGACGAGCTGCCTTTAATGCTGCTGTGGTTCAGTGAGTGGGACACGTTTCATCATGATGAATAATATTTATTGTTTCCACAAGAGGAAGTCGACAGCAGTGTTGCAGTGGCACAGACTGTGGTCTTACATAAGCCCTGTGGTGAGTCGGTGCCAGCCTGCCCACCCCCACCAACACACCATCCATCTGGATTACTGATTACTAAATTATGTTGAGATTAGGCCTCATGCTGGCAGTGACATAAGAAGCTTCTCTTTCTATCTGGCCTGCAACACAGTGATGGAAAACATCCGTCCTTTTCTCAAACGTTACACCTCAAATCAGACCCAGGGGGGACAAGTGAAGGCCTGAACCTAAAGTAGGGCAGGACAGAATCCATTCACATGCAAGATCCCCTTCAGGGCTCCACAGGTTCAACATCATATTCAGAAGTATGTTTTCAGTAGTGTATAACCACCAGAGCTTAGAATAGCTACACATGTCCTCTTCATGGAGTCCACCATGTCCACCATGCTCCAGAGGGACACTTTGGACTTTTTAGGGTACCTGAAGGCTGCTTGTGAGGGGAGGGGCCAATCTGTAACCTCACCACTAGATGTCACTTATCCAGATGCACTGCTCCTTTAAAAGTCTCTCTATTATGGTTATATTGTAGACTGCAGCCAGAGACCACAGACCAGAGTCCAGAGTCCACAGACCAGCATCCAGAGACCACAGAGTCCAGAGACCAGAGTCCAGAGACCAGGTTCCATCCAAATCCCACACTAGAAAAACTTTATTATACCCGTATTCATTTAGAAAGCACATATTGATATGAAATATAATGATGGTGTTATACTTGGTTGAAATGTTTGATCACCATATTTTCTGTTAATGTTCTAATCAGTAATCAAGATGGATTGTGTGTGAGTGCCTTTAAGCAGACACACAATGCACATACTCTGGTCCAATCTCCTGAACTAAGATGTTGAAGAGGAGGCGAGGAAAGGAATGGAGGATGTGAGAAAGGCCTCATGTCTCCTGACCCCTGGTCTGTGACCTTTGAACCCGTCCCAGCAGTCTCATGAAAGCTCTAGAAACAACTATATGTTTGAGCTTGTGATGGATTACTGGTCAATATATGGAACGTTATTGGGCCGATACTTCAGATATTAGTACATGAATAATACAGATGTACCTGTCAGGTACAGTATTGGACTGCTGAATGCTCCAATGAAGAGTCCCTGTGCACGTTTACCTTCATCATGTGTGTATTGACCTGCCGACAACAAGTCATCAGAGGAAACATCCAGGTACACAAGGTTTGCCTGGAGCTGTTTACAATCACATGGCAACAGTTTCCAAGTTAACATTTCCTTCTGCAACAGTGTTAATATTGACAATACAAAGTCCTGTTACTGTAACGTGGTCTCAGTGAAACCCACATCACCAAACCAAGAAGCAGTAGTCCTGTAGTAGTAGTAGTAGTAGTACTCTCTTTCTCTACAAGTACATGTTCATGTGAAGAGCAGCCAGCACAGTGTGGACCTCGTTAGCCAAACACAACACACTGTGGACACACACTACAGATGGGGGTCAGCTGTGTTAGCATGAGCACACACACGCACTGCGTCATGTGACACACACACACACACACGTCACATTCAGGTAAAACAGGTTCGCAGGAAGTGGGTCGCATTCCACTTTTGTGTTCAGTGTCTCCTACCTGTAGGACACCTGCTTCCTGAAGGTCAGCTGGACAAACTCTGCCTCTATCTGGGACACCGACAGCTGGCCCTCCTCCTCCTCACCAGCTACCTAAGAGAAAGACATCAAGTCTCCTTCTCATCAGTTCTCCTCCAAAGCAAGCTGCCTGAGTGGATGTGAACCAGTCCTCAGTCAGGGACACATGTTGACTGGTAGTGTGTCTTTTTGCGCGCGCGCGCACACACACACACCTGACTGCTGCCGGGCTCCAGCGTGCTCTTGGAGCTCAGCTCCGCGGTGAACACGTCCTCCTCCTCGGCCACGTCCTCCAGGGCGGGCTGCTCCACGTGTCTCATCATCCCCGCGGTCTCTGCGTGTAACGATTGATCCGGTTCTAATGAGGGAACTCCACCGCCTACTGTCTGTCTCTGTGTCCCGCGCTGTGAAGTCAGCAGCAGCCTCTAACCGCAGAGTTGTATCGGTGGTTCGGTCTCCTGTCCCAAATGGACTTCACGTCCATGAGCTCTTAACACAGTAATGAGAACTGGGCAGTGGAAGACGAGCAGTGATCTGCTCTGTCCTCCATCTAGGTGTTGCAGGAAATCAGCTGTGAGCTCTCTCTCTCTCTCTCTCTCTCTCT